TAGCAGTAGACCATTCTGATTTGTATTCACTTTTCAAATAAATTTAATAAAAACGCGTTAGCGTTAAGTATATCTTGCGCACCCGTGATATGCCGATCCTTAATATTCCGAGATCTTGCGTCATGTCCAATATCGAATTAATGAGCCAAAAAAAAGTTTCACCAAAAAAAAACGCTTTTTGCCTATTAAATGTTTCGTATAGTCAAAAATAATAAAACTTAGTGCTAATTAATAAAAGGCGGCAATATTTACACTTGCCAGAGATTAAACTGGTATCATCTGATTAATTCGTGTGCATTAAGCTAAACGCTTTACGAGTTGAATAATGTCTTACACTAGCGTGGCCCGCGCGTACGCCAACGTTAATCAGTGTATGCCTCGAGAGTATTGGGATTATGGTAGGTGTCTTGTTTTCCAAGATTATAGATTCCTTATATCGGAAAGATGTATAAGTTTTAACTTTTTGTTCATTGTATACAATATTCATCACAGATAACTTACAGGTTTCATGGGGGTAACGTGTCTTTGCTTTTAACTTTCGTATTTTAAGTTATTGGTTTTCAAATATATACGAGATCCACCGTAAGCCCGCTTGGATATACGCATATTCTTCGTTAATTGAAGATTTCTTGTAATTCTTAAAAACTTTAGTGTACAAGACAATTATGAAATAGTGCGTAAAATTGGTCGTGGCAAATATTCTGAAGTGTTTGAGGGTGTTAATATCATGAACAACGAGAAATGTGTGATTAAAGTCCTAAAACCGGTAAAGAAGAAAAAGATCAAGAGAGAGATTAAGATTTTACAGAATTTAGCTGGCGGACCAAACATTATTTCACTTTTGGACGTCGTGAGAGATCCCCAGGTAATTAACGAATCAATAGTAATTATGATTGTTATATCATATATCCTTGTTAGTGGATAGTCACGTAAAACACTTAAGGATATATATAATTGTTAATGCTTAATATAATTTAAGTTAGAGAACTAATGAAATTTTTTATTTAGTCTAAGACGCCATCTCTTGTTTTCGAATATGTTAATAACACAGACTTCAAAGTGTTGTATCCCAAATTTACTGATTATGACGTACGCTACTATATATTTGAACTTCTGAAGGTATACGGTTTCATTCTATGTTTAGTTGTTGGAATACTTATAATCTCTCATTGATGTTCATTCTGATGAGGATTCAATTGTTACATAGGCATTAGATTATTGTCATTCGAAGGGTATCATGCACAGAGACGTGAAGCCACATAATGTAATGATTGATCATGAAAAGCGTAAGGTAAGTTTGGATTCTTTTTCACTTTAAATAATATAATGGCTGATGCTGAGACTTAACTGAAGCTGAAACTGCCCAATAAAACTAATTGATTGATCACTAATTAACCGCTCAGATGCAAATAATTTCAGCTTCAGCCAAACTTCAGCGCTAGTGCTATAAATATTAAAAAATGTATTATATAAATTATTAATTTTATTTCATTGGGTATTTAGTTGAGACTTATAGATTGGGGTTTAGCAGAATTCTATCACCCAGGAACCGAATATAATGTACGCGTTGCGTCTAGATATTTTAAAGGGCCAGAATTATTAGTTGATTTTCAAGAATATGATTATTCCCTTGACATGTGGAGTTTGGGTTGCATGTTTGCCAGTATGGTAAGGTCGTATATATGACAATTGATTTTAGTTGTGTGCGTCATAATCTAATCTAATGTAACGTCAACTAGATTTTTCGCAAAGAGCCTTTTTTTCACGGACATGATAACTATGATCAATTGGTAAAAATTGCTAGAGTACTTGGCACAGATGAGCTTTTTGCATATCTTGATAAGTATGACATAGAATTGGATACTCAATACGATGATATTTTGGGAAGGTATTATATTTAATCATATGTAGTTCATTTACTCCTGGTGTACTTAACATTAACTTCGTTTTTGTATTCGACATGCACCTTCTTGCTAGGTATCCACGGAAACAATGGAATAAATTTATTACTAGCGAAAACCAAAAATTTGTTTCCAAGGAAGCTATTGATTTTCTTGACAAACTATTGCGATATGATCATCAGGTTGTGTTTCATAAATAACTGTAAAATTAAGTTTCGGAAATTAATTGACACCATTATTTGCTTTACTACAGGAACGACTGACGCCTCAAGAAGCTATGGAACATCCTTATTTTGGTAAGTAATTATCTGTGATTTCAAGTAAGGGTTTTTACTTAAACAAGGTAAATGATAAATACCACATCATTAACTTTCCGGTAATAGATCCGGTAAAACAAGTCGACGGTAACGGAACTCGGGCATAGGTCTGGTTTCACTAGAGAGTTACATTTATATATCTTACAGTTTAATTTTTAGCTTAAAACCACGTGATAAAAACACAACTAAAATTATTCGTACATATATCGAATAAATGTCAAAATTACCATCAACTTTGTATTAATATTAACGAATATAAATTAAAAATCAGACATTTTTTAAGATACATTAAAACCCGATAAATATTTTTCAGAAAAAAATGTATGTACGTACATAATATTTTTTCATTGATCATGAGTCATTCATTATTCTAACAGACAATGAACAAAGGATGCATATCTACTTACATTAAATTACTAATAGCTATTTATATTCTGCGCTGATCGTATTATTTTAAGGGAAATTCTATTTGACCCGGGTCAAAATGACCCTCAGCAAAATTTTGGGGTTAGTGCGGGCCAGAATTATGTTGATGCCGGCCAGGGTTTTTTTAATATAAAAACCCGGCCTAATTCTGGCCCGCACTAACCCTAAATTCTAGGTGGGGTTATTTTGACCCGGGCCAAAATAGAATTTACTATTAATTAAAAAACCTAAATTTTTGCAGTGACGTTTACATCGATACTGCACCCATCCCTACTTAGATCAGGTGCAATGTGAAAATAAAAAAAAACTCCGATGACACTTATATGCTTACTGTACGCATGTACGTATATAAATTTTGAAATATTCTATTGTATCTTGGTTAGTCGAAGGCGATCCCATTTACTTCATCAAAGATTCTTCGGAGTCTTTAAATTTTTTTAAAGATTTCCCTTACACCAATGTAGTATATTTCAATGTGAAGCGCCTGGAAAAATTCAGTTGGAGGTAGAATATATAATAATGCTTCTTTTGATTTATATCTGAAAAAATATGCATATATATGCGCTAGAAAAATATAGGTACTTATATGTTTTTGTTTACACTCTAGGGCTTGTAAAATCGAACCATACACAAATTTTCGGCTTCGTGATGAGTTGATACCCTTCAAATAAAGTTTTTTTATTTAATTGCGTGTGAATCTGTTGAACAACACTTGATAACATTCAAATATTTCTTTATCCATATATAATAGTTTTCAAGACATGAATAAAAGAACCAATCGTTTAAAAAACTTATATATTTAAGTGCCGCAGAGCTAAGGTCCGTAATTTTTCGTTTTTGGAAATTTACTTCACAGGATACGAGCTTATCACCCAAAGAATGTAATCATGTGATGAAACGAGTCCATATATTCGAAAATCAAGAATTAAGGTTTTCTTGGCGGCACCCTTTAAAGAATTGCCCTTTGAGTTTCGCTAAAAAAAAATTTCAGTTATACTATGATTTAGTGTTTGAACTGGTTATAAAATCAAACACCAATATAAATCAGTTTCAATATAACCGGCTGCAAACCGGTTTTAATTCAACTGGTAAATAGTATTGCAAGGTGTACATCTATGTACTTCTCTATTTAAATAGCTTGATTATTTTTTAATTTGGATATATTGTATGTTAATTGATACTTTATCAGTTTTATTAACAATTTTATATAGATTATTTTTATATTTTATTATGCTTAGACCCTCCTATTTCTATACTAAAATGAAAATTTGAAATATAATTAGTTAATATTTTGTAAAATTTGTAATTTAGTTTTAATAT